AAAAAGCGGGGTCGGAAACAACGACTTGTTTCCTACTCAATTCAAGAATCAGCTAGTTCACTGGATGAAACTACTTCTAGACGGTCGGGAAGAAAACGAACCGCCGTGACTAAGAAGGGGGCAGTCATGATCGATAACATCCAAAAGACGGATAAGTCAGGAGCAAAATGAAGAGGAGGAGAAAAGGGAATATGAGTAACAAACTTATATAAACAGCTTACAAAACTGTTATCATATGGAGGTCCAGGGAGAGGGCATGCTGCGAAAGGCAAAAACTAAAAAGTTTGTGTTTTTGTTATTAACAAAACTTGTTATTAACCCTATTCTTTACTGTTAACATCGATGCATTGGATACGTTAATTAGAGTCATTAATTCCTACAAGGAGGGAAAAGTCATAGTATCTAAATTTAGTTCATGTTCCATTTCTAGTTGTGCTACTTAATTCATTTATCTGTCTGGCGCTAACTGGTATTTAATCGTCGGAGTTTGTCTGTCACCTTCGGATGACAGCTATTTTATTGTCTCCGACTAACTTTCTAAACTACGGTTACTTACTCAAAAGGATTAAAATTAACACATCGAAACCGTCCTTTTACAAGACAAACGTTAAACTTCCGCGTATATAACTTTTTTTACACGAGATCCCCTTTTCACTACTTTTTTCTCTTCTGTTTTTTTTTTCTGGAGAAATTTTCAAGGTATCCTTGCAGCATATCTTTTCATACTATTATCTCCTGCTTGCTTACCTTTATTTTAGTTAGTTTTGCCTGCGGTTCAAAAATATCCTTCTTTGATTGAGCTTTATTAAGCTCAGCCTCGTTTGACGGCAACCTTTTATTCAAAAATATTGGACGATGGTTTCCCAAACTTTTGATTTGTATCAGAAATCAAGTAATTGTAGTAAAAAATTAATTACTTCATTTACTAGATATGACCTCATTTACTAGGTGTTGCAGCAGAGGGGGTCAAAAATTAATGTGCTATTTTTACTTAAGTTCTTCCCTTTGACTCTAACGTTTTAGGATTTTAACTAGAACGATTCTCCATTTGAATCCAAAAATTTTATCAGAGTTTTTGCAGCTCTATTTTGAAGTTCTAGTTCTCTTCAAGATCTATTTTAAATTTCTAGATCTCTTCAAAATTTTAAAGACAAAAACAAAAGTTATAAGATCAGTATGAACTCTTTAAAGCTCCTATTGCTGGTATCAAAATTGTTTTTCTTCAAAGATACTTCTTTCAAATTTGAACACAAAAGCAATACAAAATAGCAAGAGATTTTAAAAAATGCATGCATGATTTTGACTCAATTCGCAGCTCAATTTGACTCCGTAACATTACATTTTCATGATGACAAAAATTATTGAGTCCAAAAAAGTTCATGAAAACTATAAATTCAAAAAAAAACTAACCAAAAACATCAAACGCAAATTTCCATCATATTTTTTTTTAAAAACCGAACAAAATTGCTCTTTTCTTTAAAACAAATTATTGCCAAATGGACCAAAAAAACCAATGCTTGTTCTTTTTTTTCAAATATCGATAAACTGAACTAACTCAAAAGTTTTAATCTCTGAGTTTAACCCACATGCCATGAGCACGACCTGTAACTGTACTTTATTGCTTTTCAACATTTAAAAAATGATAAACCTATGAAACATTTTTGGTCTATTTCTCAATTATTTTTTACAGAAATGAGCGCTTGTGTTCCATTTAGAAGAATTTGACACTATTTATTTTCTAAAAAGTGTTTTTGAAAAAAAGCGTTTTCACAGTTCATCATTATTTTGCCACCAATAAGGGATTGACTAGTATCCGGTTGCTCAACAAAATTGTTTTGTATAATTTGTAAACGGGGGCAGCTTTGCAGTTGAAGTCCAGTAGCTTTATTTTTGATCCGACCGTTGAAAGTGGAGAGGGATTTTTGTATTCTAGTTCTAGTTTTTCTAGTTTTCTAGTTTTTTTTGTTTTTTTTTGTTTTCGGCGCAAAATCAGGTACCAAAAATTACTCATAGGACTAGATCAAGTGATATATATTATTGAGGCTCTTTTGGTCGTAACTCGAACGAAATCAAAACATTCTAAAAACCATCCCAGCCGTAGTTTAAACGAAAATTAAACATTCAATCCACAAATCATCCCAGTTTCGAGAAAAACCGATTTGAAATTTTTGATTTTTTGATAATTAAAGGATAAAAAAAAGATACTTTTTTGCAAATAAAAAAATTAAAATTGTTTTATAGTGTTTTTTTTCATGTCTTGTTTGTCATTACTCAGAAGACAAATTTTTTTCATTATGTCGAATTCAGTAAGTTTCTACGTGTTTGTATAATTCTCAATTTGCACCTTGCACTAAAAACGACACTATTGCACAGAAAAGAATCGATGTAATTTTTATCAATATGGTCGGAACATTCTGTGTTACTTGCACTGCAACCATTAGATAATATAATAATCTTGTCACTGCAAGACTCTGGTAAAAAACTATTTGGCAGGGCTTGATAGATAAAACCTTCTCAGTTACAAATTTTTTCCAGCCAAACGGATTTTTGCCTCGTCTATATCCTTTTATAAAATCGTTAGATAGTTTGTTTATACTATTTAATTTGCGAAAATTTTTAGAGAAAGGAAAATTTTGCCATCAAAATTCAAATATTTCAGCGAGTTACAATTTAAAAAATTTAATTTTTCTTTTAGCCCTTTCTGTTGATGAAAAAGTGAGATCTCCAAAGTAGCACTCCTAATTTTTTAGTTGATGTCTGCGTAGAAAAGAAATTTTTCCCATCTGAACTAAACAATTTTTTCTAAACAAGTTTTTTTTTGTGAAAACATGAACACTTAAGTTGAAAAAGAATCATGATACTAATGATTTTTTTTAAAATTAAAAGTGAGAACTTTTTTCAATGAATATTCTCAGGAGCAGATCTGCTCCTCGACAAAGAGGGACATGAATAGATTGTTTTATTTTCTTCACCTTTTTTGCAACATATTACTCAATTTTTGTAATGAAACATTTTTCTTGATCTAAGTTATGAACCCATTTGATCTCTGATTAATTGAATTAATTTTTGAGTTCCTTGGCTGACATTTATGGTGAACTCTGTTGATCCAATGATGTTTTAAATTTTTTCGGAACAGGTTTTAGTCTTGTTTCAAAATTAATCTTGTTTCAAAATTGTTTCAAAGGATGATTTTTTTTAGTTAGCTCAAGAAGTAACTTTATAGTAATAATTTTTATGCAATTGAATATGAATGGCTTGTTAAGAGATTTGAGAGAATGTGAGAAATTCTCACTGACCTGACCTCACTTCAGAGGTTTAATCTATATATTGTCTCAATTTACTGAAGATGGATTCAAGGAAGTCATCCGCAAGCAACTGACTTAAGATCAGCCAAAACGCCAGAATTGATTGATAATCTGCATCTAACTGCCGCTAGTTCAAACGTTTTTTTTTTCGGGTTTTTCTTCATATACTTTTTCTTGCAGTTTCTTATAGTAGGCAGTTATGAAGTCAACTGTTTTCGATTAGTTTTGGAATTGCTTAGATTCTTCCCTAAACGGAAGATCCTGGCATTTGAGTAGTAATGTGGTGTAAATTTTTTTTCAATAATTTTTTGATGCTTTTGGTTTATCAGAAGCTGTTGTGGAACGAAACTTGGTATCAAAACCTTAATTGGTACTTTACATGGCTTAATTACCCTGAATGGCTTAGACACACAACACACTTGTAGGACATGTAGAAGCAAATCAGCGCAGAGACAATTCATTCACAAGCAGTTAAGCTAATTTTCAATCCAAGCAATTAAGCCATAAAAGCTCAGAGATTTCAGCCAAAGACAATTTGGCAAAAATAGATTGATGAGACTAAATCTTTTTTTCTTTTTAAAAACTTTTAATAAAGCAATGCGCACTAAAAAACAACCATCAAAGATCAAAATGAGTTTGCTCTGCATAATGTTTTAAGGATATTTCTACTTTACAAGAAAAAAATTTGAAACACTTATGTATAAGTTCGCAATTGTACTTACTTGCGCTTTGCTTCGGTTAAATGGGCGATTGACTATTTGGGTTTCAATTTTCTGATTGATTTCGTGATAGTTGATGGATTGATTGAATTTTCTGATTATGTTTTCATATTAATTAACTTTGGTGCGACGTTGATAGTGTTTTAGTTTTATTTTCCTATTTTTGTTTTTGTTTTCCTCACAACATCAGGTGCCACAAATAATCATCGGATTGAGTCGAATAAAAATCAAACCAAAAGCCCTTTAAGTGATTCGACAGATGATTAAAAAAGTTTGAAAAACTTGTCTCAGCGTCGAGAAAAAATGGTTTAAAAGTTTTGCTTTTCTATTCAATTTCGATCAAGTACAGCAATCGAGTAACAGTTGTTATATGAAAATTTGCCCTTAAAACTTTAATAAAAAGAAAAATTATATTTTAGTTAGAAGAAAATTAGTTTTGGATGTATAATTTAGAGCTGACTTGGCAATGCAGGTTTTTTTTTTAAAAAAAAAAAGGACTTAGTGATGTCTAATTCACTAAATTTTTAAGCGGTTGTATACTTCTCAAATCACATGACATAATAAAATTGATGCTCATTTGCAAAAATAAAAAAAATTAAATGAAAGTGGTCGGAAGACTTTTGTGTGCGACTTGCTCAGCAACCGGCTATTTTTGCTCTATTTGCACCTTTGTCAATTTATTAGCGCTTTCAATAGTACAAAAGCAGCAACTAGCTTTTCTTGTCTTATAACCTTTGAGTTGAATTGTTCTCTGGTAGCTTCGATTTTTTCACTCATTTTTCTGAAAGAGGTATTCCTCCTACATTTTTGAAAAGTTTAATCCAATTGGCTACATCTTTAATTCAAGATTGTGAAATGTGTATCTCATTTTTTCCAGAATGCTGAGTTTCCTCCTAGATCCAAACCATGACAGGAAGATATCAAATTTAATACTCTAGATTTTGATATTTTTTGTCTGTGCAAAAGCCAAATTGAGCAAAAAGAAAATGAGCTGAAAAACATTATTAAAAAATCTCAAACTTGGAAAATTTAATATATTTTTTTAAAATAGCAGAAAGATATATGTAAAAAAAATTGACACTTTGAAATGGATCAGCAACTACATCCGGACTTCGGGCTCTTCTCTGGTACAATCTGGGATCCTCCTTTGGAGTTGTCGGCCCTCGTGATCTTTACCTGAGGGCCCCCTGCCCCGTCTGTTTTCTTCACCACTTCATAAATATCATGGATGAGTGTCTGGAATAATGTGGCTACGTTGGTGGACTTCAGGGCACTTGTTTCTACGAGGGCCATCTGATGTTGACCTGCAAAGTCTTCGGCGTCTTCAGTTGGTACGCTTCGAAGGTGGGCTAGAAGTTAAAAAAAATTATTTAGTAAACTCTGGACAAGCATAAAACATTTGAACGCCATAAAGAAGACGGACAAAACCTAAAATGCGTCACAGCTCAACATGCTACATATTGCTGATAGACCTTATGATGATACTTCAAGATAGCTATATCGTGTTATCGACCCCCTTCCATAGCAATGATAGTGTGTGAGGATGAGCTCTCACTTTACCACTAGCTTCAGTTCTACAATAGTGGTACCTGAGTAGGGTACGGCTGCAATAGAGGTACGGCTGCAATAAAGGTACCACGTGAAAGTTCTAGACGCGAAAAAAGGCCTTGAGTTCCAAAAAAGAACATCTCGCAACAAAACAAATCAGTGTAGACTGTGGCGGAGAAAGAGGAACGGACTATGATTAGACGGGCTGAATAGACTTTCATAGCTCCTCTAAGAATCGCAGAAACCATAAATGTATCCTAAACAAGAGATAGGTTAGTTTTCAACGCTTTTGTAGCTGGTATGTTCTAAGTTCGACTGGTTTGAAAACCAGTTTAAAAACTATTCAACAAGCTAGTCTCGTCATAAGTCCGCAGCCTAGTAGACAAAATTACGGCTGCTTTATAAAGTCTGTTTGCGTACCCAAGTCGGATTTGTTGCCGACTAGGATAGTCTTGCAGAGTGTGGGCGCGAAGTCATTGATCTCCTTCTTCCACTTCTCAAGCTGCTGGAAGGACTCCTGCTTCGTGATGTCATACACCAAAACTGCTCCGACCGAGTTGCGATAGTAGGCACTGCTGATCACACGGTACCTGGACAAGACATGAAAAAGTGTTTCTATTAGAACCGTGTCCTCTCTTCCACAGTGTCTGTGCATAATGAAAATAATTACCACTTCACCATGAAATTTTTTTCAATGGTTTAGCATGCATAACTTTTTATACATTGGGATTCTTTTTCCGATAGAATGAGAATGAAAATTGGTTTTAACACGAAAAATCAACTAACAAATATATAGTTCTTAAAACGAAAAGTCTATAAATGATGATGGAAAGTTTTTTTTCAGCTCAAGGATAAACGTAAACGGTCAGCTCGGAGTTGCATTTTAGTTCTGAACCACTTAAAATGCGTAGTACCGTTCTTGAATTTGACGGTTTTTCACAAAAAAAATCAGTGATAAAAGACATAAATCTGTTGACGAAGTTCGCAAAAGTACTGAGGCGCCATTTATCTGCTGAGAACAAGTGGGACTTTTTTGGACGAGTAAGACTTATTTTTTTGACCGAGTTAATTTAAAGTAAGATTTTTGGGAAGCAAAATTAGGATGACCTCAATGGCTTTACTGATGATTACTTAAATTATTTTAATTAACCTTTCTTGCCCGGCTGTATCCCAAATTTGGGCTTTGATGATTTTGTTGTCCACCGTGACTGACTTGGTTGCAAACTCAACCCCTGCAATCACAGAAACCTATGTATGTAAAAAAATTGTTACCAATAAAGCGCAAATAAAGTTGCAACCAGAAATACTCAGCTTCAATATTCGACTCAAATACACAAAAAAATCATGTAAAAACCACAATCCCGAAGCAAACAGTGTGAGCTAATAATTGGCTATCAAAAACACTCAAATTGCTCAAATTTTGCGCAAAACTGGGCAAATAAATCTCGATACGGGGTTGCAGAAAACATTTATGAGAAAAAGTTTGAATGGAAATATTTGAAGCGTTTTAAATGGTATCAGCAGTGAGATAATCCTTGAGTTTTTTTAGAAAGAGTACACCGTCTGTTTGTAACTCTGTCTTTTTTCGGCCGCAGTGATTCGTGTAATCACTAAGTCCATAACTGGTCTAATTCTTACTCTTATTAAGCCCGCTTGTGAACAATAGAACTCGCATAAATCAAAACTTCACTTCTATCTGACTAACCAATTGTGCTTCTGGAGTCCAGATTGAACTCGTTCCTGGCAAAGCGGGCCAGCAGGTTGCTCTTACCTACTCCGGAATCCCCAACCAGAACAATTTTGAACAGGTAGTCATACTCGTCATCAGTTGCAGCTCTGTTAGATCTATTGGGGCAAAAAAAACTTAACGGATCTATCATTCGCCATTCACAGTCATAATGCAAAGAGGGAAAGTCCTTATATTACTCGTTTTTTTTGTGTCTTACTGTTTATTTAGCCGTTCATAGAGTTTGAAGTGCAGTGAAATGTATGAACGCGTGATGACCATCCTAATAAAAAACTGCAAAATGATATCAATTTATTAAAGATTTGTAAAAAAAAATCCCCTATCTTACCTGTTGAGGAGAAAACCAAAATTTTTGTACGATATTTTATTCGAAAGTTACAAAAAATCGTACAAAAAATTTGGTTTCCGCCTCAACAGGTAAGAGTTTGCTTTCATCTTCAACAGGTAACATTTAATAAATCGGATGAAAGTTTGATTTGTTTTTCCAAGTCGTGCTATTTCCAAATTGTATCTGATAGTATAATTAGGTCATCTATCGTACAGATTACACACTTCTCCTTCCATGTTCCTTCCATGCTTTTTTAATCATTTTAAAGTCTTTTCCAATGTTCTATCATTTACTCTATAAATGTTAAAATGAGTTATAAATGAGCTCCTACAGTTTAATGATAATTGACTATAGTGGCAAAATTTTGAACACAAAAACTGGCCAAAATCGATTGTTATTCAATAATATCAATTTTTTTTAGCTTCTACGATTTCAATCGACGCAAAAAACTGCAGCGTGCTTGATCATTTAAAATTATTTTTTAAATTGTCATCTTAATGTCAATTTGTACCTTGGAAATAGGAACACTGATGTTGTTCTAATTTTTATGGTCAGGACTGCTTATAACATAGAAAAATCATAATTATTTCATTTTTTTTCCTCAATTAAAATCAAAATTAAATCTTTTTTATTCAAATAATACAGTTGCTCAAACTTACCTGATCCTGATCAAGACTTCTCGTAACCTAGAAACGTCGGGAAATTTTCTGCGTTTCTCAAGTGTATTTTGGTAAATCTTTTCATCGGACTAACGATTAAATCAAAAATTTAAAGTATATATTTGTGCACAACTTTTCTATCTCACATTTTCAGGCACAAAGTGAGTTACCTTATCTGTTTGACAATCTGTTGGTCGTAAAAAACTTAACTTAACTCATTTTGTAATGGTTTTTGCGCCGAACTGATTTACAAAAAAACTCTGAAACTAGTGCGCTTTAATCATAAAAAAATTAGCCGAATTCGTTATTTTCAGTTCTCGTATTAGTAGATTGCAAATGAAATATATGCTTCTTAACACTTAGTTGCAGTTCTAGTATCTCTCATATGATTTTAAGAAATCCCTCAAAGTTAGTATTTAATGATTCCACATTTGCACATTTGTGTTTCGAAAAAAAACTACAAGGTATCAAATATTCTTTGATTCTTCTGATGTCGGTGCAAAATTTTTTATACTGTACAAAAATTCGGTTTGTCGGAAACCATTTTTCAACGGATATCCTTTCGAACAAGCTATAACTTCTTCACCAGTGCTGTAACGGAACACTCATCGTGAAAAAAATTGATATTTTTTTTGTTATACTGCCCAAAATGACCAAAACGTTCCTATTACGTCCGTTTTTGTCAAACTGTCGGATATTTGGTTTTGTTTTTGGCTCAAACCAAAAAATTGTCATCTATATTGCAATGGATCGATTCATAAAAGTTTTAACTGCTCAGTGGCTTGCGGATAATAGGGTTTAACTAAATATGTTTTTGCCACTCAGTGTCTTAAGATCTACCGTCAAAAAATATTTTGTCATGATTGGATAAGAATAATAATTTTATATATTGACAAGGATAGCCGGTTACTGTGCAAGTATTTAAAACTTCAAGTTAGTGTTTTTTTTCTTCATGTTGTGATAAAAAGACCTGAGCGGAAAATAGAATATAGGCCTATTTAGAGTCAAACTAAAGTAGGTCAAATGGGAAGATTTTCTGAAGAGAAATGACTAAAAATACGAAAAAAAAATTAAAAAGTTTTGAAAAAATTTCAAAAAAATTTTCAAAATTTTTTGCGGAATTTTTTTTTTGAAATTTCAAGTTTTTGATTCCCAAAATTGCGCTGAAAAACTCCAAAAGCTACCTTTATTTGAGTAAAACTAAGTTTTCAAGGCTTAAATTAAGCTTTAAGAAGCTATTGCAATTACTAACTACCTTATAAATTAGCTCGAAAATGGACCAAAAACCAAAAATTTCAAATCGATTTTTATCGACACTGAAAAAACTTTTTTGAAATCTCTAAATGTCGTTTGAATTACGACTGGAACGGATTTAATATGATATATCAATCAACCCAGTCCGATAATTATTTGTGGTAGCTGATTTTGCGTGGAAAGAAAAACTAAAACACACCTGAATCCAAAGTTACTCCCCCTTTTCAATGGTCGCAACAATAAGTGATAATTATTTATCAAATTAAATTTTGTTGTAATTATATGCAAAATGATTGAAAAAAATAGTTAATATTTAACCCTTGGGCATGCATGCCTGATATCTGAACTCCCCATTGTTCATAAAAAATAGAAACAATTGATATGATAGCTTGTACTAATATCTGTTTGCGTAGAAATTTGAAAAGACAAACGAAAATCCAGATTTTAATTTAGATTTAGATTAGATTTGAGCATTTTGATTTACTTTTCGAAAAAAAAAAAACTTTTTTTGGGCCGTATAACCGGAAACAATAAGTTTAGTCGGGTAAATGCTAATCTGTGCATAGGTGGCCTACTGTTTGGCAGATTCAAACCTTTTTTAAAATTGTTATTGCATTTCCCACATATCTCATTTTTGGCATAGTTTTGCTTCCAAGAAATTGTTTCTGTTGAATAAAAAAAGCTGAGAGCAGAAAAAAGTAAAACTAGCGTCCGTGTTTTATGCAGAATGCTCACGCGCTCAGAAATAGAACTCGTGCTTTTCCGAGTTTTTTTTGCAATCTCAACCCTTTCCTTAAAAAATATGAAAAAAGGCGGCAAATAGTCATAACAGGAGAAAAAACGGCGGCTTTAAAGTAATTGTTATAAACATAGTAGACCCGGCAAATTAATTCGAATGCCGCGAACTATCCCCTAGAGTTTGTCTTGTTTATTGTGTATTATATTTAACCGGGCAGTAGTAAATTAGACGATAAGCAAATTAGACGTGACCAATAAAAACGAAATAACTCAGACGTTAAATTGTTTTTGCAAAACTAGCATTTTAGACGGAAAGCAAAGGGCTAACAAAACTTATAGCCCAAAACAAATGTTCATATTTACAAAAATAGTGTATGGTCCCACTGCATATCAAAATATTTATCACAATTGATTTATAAAATGTTAATTTCAAGATTATGAAACATTTTTGAAATGCATAAATTATACAATTGCGGCACGTGAAAAATGCGGAATGTGAAAATTGCGAAATGTGAAAACTTAATTTGCATTTAAAAAGCTCGAACGAAAGTTAATTGTAGTCGGTAAACAAATTTCAGACACTAACAGTACAATTACGTCTAATTTCCCATGTTTGTAATTTTGCATCGACGTCTAAATTCGTTTTTGTTGGTCACGTCTAATTTGCTTTTTGTCTAATTTCGTACGCCCCTATTTAACCGACCTGACAGTTTCACTGCGACTAGCTGTGGTGCCTGGCCTGCTTTCACTTGATGTTCTGCTTTCTCCACCAATCGTTGACCTGCTCTGACTCATGACGATTAAAGTGTAACTAATAATCCAGTGGTAATAAATTATTTTACTCTAGCTAGATAGTAGATGAAACCAAATTTGTCGATAAAGTTTGCCCATCTATTTAGTTTTTCGCTCCCTTAAAAACATCTGTAAAATTTAAGAGAAAATGAAAATTATGACGCAATGAAACAAAATAAGTGTAGTGTAAAATACATCGAAGTAAACACTCGTCAGCCTTATCCACAGCTGAACATTAAAAATTTTATACTTTTTTCGTTGATCGAGGTTAATTTTTTACCGAAATTTCTTTATAATTTTCACGGACCCCCTTGATTGACAAACTTCTCAAGTGTTAGCAAATATAACAATAGGCGTTCGGATAATATGATCAATTTCAAGAGAGCATAAAATTATTTAGAAATCTTGTTCATTATTGTTTTCTATATCATGACAGTTCGTTTTAGTTCTGGATTGAGTTAATATTGAGGTATTGTTATTTGGAGTAGTGACAATTCGAACAAAGTACCTTCTCATTGGTATGTTTACTCAATTTGAAATTACGTTTTCTAACAAACAACTCCGATATAAGACAAATCACTGATATTGAAAACGATGAATTGGTGTTGAAGTACTAGTTTTTAATGGACTAAGAAATGACGTCAGAGACGTACAGGTTCAATGTTATTCGTGGCAGGGTTCAATCATATTAAAAGAAGAAGAACGGTTGTTTTTGTTGATTACCTCTTCAGACCAAAAACACCAATCAACGTTAACTAATTTTTCAATACAAACAGGCTGTGTTTGAGCTCAATTATTTCACTTAAGAATTTCAAAAATCGTTTCTTCGTAATCTGTACACATCCAACGCGTTTTCATCTTCAGAGAAAATAAAGCAATGAGGTTACTCATTTCGGGAAAAACAAACAGGGCTTTCCCAATGGATTCATTTTCTTTTGACGATCAACATATAAGAGGGTAAAAATCTACATGCAACCAATTTGATAAAATAGAATAGTCGCTAATAGTTAAATTTCTAAAAGAAATCTGCAAACTCTACAAAAACGACGGAATTTTTTAATGCGAATTTTCACCCGGAAAAAAAATATGAGAAAATATAGACAGAGCAGTTGCAAGCAGTGAGTTGGAAAACGTAAGATTTGTACAATCTTACAAAAAAGTTCTGCGTGCAACCAAAAGGAAATAAAGATAGCCGGTTACTTTGCAAGTAGCACAGAACGTTTCGACCATAGTCTTTAAAAACCTGCAGGAAAAAATTTTTTTTCCACTTAGTGTAGTTTTTGCGCGTGGTCTGATAAGAAAATCCTATCTAGAACTATAATCGACAGTCATAGTAATATAGACAAACAAAGCAACAGATTTTGAGGGAAAAATTACTGAAAAAAAAGAAACAAAATTTTTGAATTTTTGATTTTTTTAACTTGATTCCCAAGATGGCATTAAAAATCTCCAAAAAATAATTAAAGTAAATTTGAAATTAAGTTGGAATAAGTTGTCTTAAACCGCCTGAGTTCAGCATAAATTAAGCGTGCTTGCTCGCTTCACTAGCTCGAGTTTAGACGAAAATTTTTTTAATGTAGTACGAATCCCCACTGAAAGAGCTTCAATACGATTTAAAACTCTAACCAGTCCAATGATTATTTTGTGGTGCCTAATTTTGCGTGGAAAAAAGATAAAAAAACTGAAACCTACCCGGATACAAAGTTCCTCCCCAGTTTCAGTGATCGGAACAAAAACAAACAAGTAAAAATTTACAAAAACTCATAACCTCACCAAAAATAGCTTAGAAGTAGACATATTCAGCAGTAGTGGTAAAACAGGAACAATATTCAACAGTTTTCTTTGAAAAACAAACTATTTTTCAGCAAAAAAAATTGAATTGAGAAAAGTTTTTTTCCCAAGAACGAGCTAAATTGAACATCAAAAACAAGTTTTACTGGAACACACTAAATTTATCTGGAATAAAAACGTCATGAATTTTTTAATCGAATCAGTTCATTATAAGAATGCTGGCTTGATTGATTTGTTTCTCGCTTTTAAGCTTAAAACCAAAACTTTGACCATTTTTTCCTTAACACCAAGAAAATTTGACTAAAACTTTTCAACTCAACCGACACTTAACAAAAAACAGTTGTATACGAGATAACAGTCGACTCAGTTCGATAATTTGTTGTGACATGTGATTTTGCAAAGAAAAAAGAAAAAAATTAAAACGCAATCGAAGACAAGTTCCTCGGTATTTCCAATGATTAGAACAAAAAATACGTGAGCATCTGCCAAAACATCTGCCAGCATCTGCCATAATCAAGTACATATAATCATTGTATTCAGGTTGCCAGGGAATTGTTGGCTGTTAATTTGCTGTTAGTTTGAAAATGGGGAGGAGCTTTGATTCGGGTGTGTTTTAGTTTCATTTTGTTTAGGTTTTTTTTCTTTCTTTTTGTTTTCCACGCAAAAATACAGAAGATACCAAAAACAATTATCGGACTGTATTGAAACACGTGCCATATTAAAGCCCTTTTTAGTCGAAAATCGAACCACACTAGAAAATACCCAAAATTGTTTGTCAGTGTCAAGTAGAAGTTTTGAAATTTTTGATTTTTCGTCTTAACTCGAGCGAATGAAGTTAGCAAGCAGGCTTACAACAAAAGCAGGCTGAAATAATGCCTAGTTTAAGACCTTAAAACTGATTTTTGAGCCATTAAAACTATTTTTATGAGTTTTTTAGCTTCGTTTTGAGAACCAAAAACTGCAAAAAAATCGAAAGTTTTTTTGATATATTTTGTTAGCTTTTTTAGTCAATTTTCAGCAAAATTTTTCTCCAACTTGCTTATATTACTATGACTGTCTAAAATATTTAAATCGTGTTTTTACGTCAGATCCTTTTATCACATTAAGAAGAAAAAACTACACTAATTTGGAGAAAAACCTGTCTAAGCCGTAGTTTTCTAACGACTATGGTCGGAATATTCTGTGCTACTTGTATAGTAACCGGCTGTCCTTGTGTTTTTTATACTTGGTGCGCTTTTTTTGTTGTATTCCCTGTGTATTTTTGAAATTCTGTTAGAATCAGTTGCTTATAATAAAATCATCATGAGCTTTCCTATAAGCGTTTTACTATGAACATTTGATTTTGGAAGATGAAACAATTGGTTGAAACTGATTGCTATATTTAACACTAAGCTTACGATGAATTACAAGATTCTTGTAAGCAATTTAAACGAGATCACTCAGCCCTCATCTTAAAAGCTGAAATTTTTTTTCAGTCAAATGAACAAAACAGCAAAAAAAAATAAAAACTGAAAAACGAAATATGAAAAACGACATTGCTGCCAAAATTTTTAAAATTTTAGCTTTCCACAGAAGGATTTCCAAGTTCTGTTCTGACTAACAGTTCAAAACAGAAATTGAAGAATGCAGAAAAAAAGTCTACAAAGCCGGCAATTTTTGCATTTTTCAATAATCGCCCTTGAGTGAAATTTGATGGCCGAGTACAAGTTAAACGTTCTCTAAGTTAACTAAAAAAAATTGTGAACAACTTCAGAAATGTTATCTTCAAAAATAGTTATCACTTTCAAAGAAGTTAGGAATGTTGTGATCTCAGTGTGACGCTGATGAAAGAAATCAATGAAGTTTGCAAATCAGCCAACTTGATTTTTTTAATGTTTTTTTTTTCAAATGAAAATACACCCTCTCACACGCTATATGGGTCAAGCATTGATTTACTTGGCTTTCAAAAAATGTTAATTTGAAAGATATTTGAGCTGAATTAATTCGCCAGTTGTGCACAGAATGAGAAAAATTAACCAACTTACTATTCAAACTGGTAAAAATGGTTAATTGAAAGCCATTTTCACTTCAACGAAATAATCCTAGGTTATCCGGGTATCCGGTTGCTATGCAAACTACACAACATTTTCCGACTACATTTATGATGGCAATAATGATAGAAACTAAAACAAAATAAGATATTTGTTAATTATTTTTCCTTGTTTTCTCTTCAAAAAAAACCTGCAGACATTTTAAGGCACGCTAATCAATTATTTATAATCAGAACACCGGTCAGAGAAAATAAATTATCCGTTCATTGCTAACTTTTTGTCTGAAAAGCAATAAATTCAGACTACTTTTCCTCGACTCAGAAATTGGTTTAGCCTAATTGTTGTAATAAACTTATTAAATAGTTTCAGAGTTGGAAGATGTAAATGATGTAATATCACAAATCAATCACATCAAAGACTCAATCAAAAGCGGAACCGAAGGAGATGCACAGAGTCTTTCCAAACACTTAATGAAGTAATCGAACTTCAACAACGGAAACTAGCAATTCTAGAAAACAAAAAATGTCAAATAAGAGAGAAAGTTGTTGAAATTTCCATTGTTATACGCGAAATATCCGAACGGGTTGTAGAGTGAGAGAAAAATTCGAGAAAAATTTACTTACTTTTTGTAAACTTTGACTATGGTGAAAACCGACGTCAGACATACTCAATTTCATGCGTCACTATCTGACAGTCAATCTTAGCATCAACAATATAGCCACCTGTCACCCTCTGAATTATAACTCACAATCAGCAGTGGTCGGTAAATTCACAATTCAAGCGGATAGCGATATAGTGTGGAGAAGAAAAAACTGGCTGAAAAATATTCGAAATTTGAGAAATCTTCCTATCATGATTGAGGAATGCCTGGCCTCTATAGATCGAAATTTAAAAGAAGAAGCTAGACAATCCGGATTACCTGTTTTTACACAAACAAAATAAGTACGCCCGTGATGCCAATAGCTTCTGACAAGACCCAATAGCTTCATGTGAAGTCCAGCATAGAACTTAAATTTTTTCTCTCCCAAAGTAGCGTAGCAGATAAACATCCGGAAGAAACAATAATCAATGGAGCAGACCTTACCGTAAATTATCGAATGTGGGCCGAAATAACTGAAACCCCTTGTTACCATCACCGCTGCAAGGAAAAACCGAACCAGAAAGGAGCGTTTTGAGACCAAAAAAAAGTTAATTCTCTCACCACTTAAAGAAACAAATCAAAGTAATCTAGCTAATGACTTAATCAATGCTCTTGTACCAGCCATTGTTAGTGTTATTCAACCTGCTGTTGAAAATGCTAGAATTCCATCCCCTCAAAAAGAATCTCCTTTTTCAGATGAAAATGAATCTGATTAAAATTTACCTGCTGTAATTTCTGTGCTACTCATTAACGCTATGTTTCTCAAGAAACCTGTTGCAGACTTAGAAGCACTTATATTTTGTCTTGAATCTCCGCCGTCAATATTGTGGATAACTGAAACATGGTTAAATACTCGAGATGATTCCAACGCTTTACTTATAAAAGGTACTGATCGATACAGAGTGAAATCTCGTTAATTGCGAGGTGGAGGTGTAAAGATTCAAATCCTGAAGGGAATCAACATTTCTGAAGAATTGCTGATAATTGTTGAGGCGGGTTTATCGGTGAAAATGTCAGACCAAGGCTTCCGATTTGTCATAACGGTAAT